ATGTGTATACATACATAGTTAGTCCTAACTTACAAATGGTCTCTATTCACTCACTTGGCAAATGTTTCCTGAGCATTTAGTATGTACCAGGAACTACTGCAGAAATGCCAATTTCTCTGACTCTGCCCTTTCAGGAGCTTAGCTGTCCTGTAATCATTGGCTCATTGATCTGTCCTCTGCATAGTATTCTTAAAATGTTCAGGATGCCGTGGAAACACAAAGGAGGAGTTTTAAAATCAGACTTTGAAATCAGGAAAGCTTTTTAGAGGGGAGTGATATTTGATTGTTTTAAAAGATAAACAGATGAGGGGCACCTGGATGGCTCAGTCTGTTAGGTGTCTGCCTTCAGCTCAGGTCATGATACCAGGGTGTTTGCATTGAGCCCCGCTTCGGGTGTCCTGCTCAGCGGGGAGTCTGCTTCTCCCTCTGCCCCTTTCCCTGTTCGTGCTCTCTCTCTTGCCCCCCTTTGCTCTCTCTCAAATAAATAAATAAAATCTTAAAAACAAAACAAAACCAGATGAAAGCATGAGGCATGGAAGTGGGGCGGGACTGAGGATAGATTTCCTGGCAGAGAACACAAGCTGTGGATTGAATGGCATGATGAATAGGGAACAGAAAAGTACTTCAGAATACCTGCAATAAAAAAAAAAAGAATACCTGGAATAAAAGGTCTATAAGACAGTGGTGGGGAATGAGGCTTGAGAGGTAAGGAAATGCCAGATCAGGATGGGCCTTGTGAAGGACAGATGTGGAGTTTAAGGTTATTTTGAAAGCTGTTGAACATTTTAAAAACTTTTAAATGGGGTATTGAGAGTGGATGGCTAGAAGAACATTCTTTCAAGAACCTTGGCTATGAAAAGGGAAAAAGTCACTAGAGGGAGAATTGGTTTTTTAAAAATTTTTATTTAAGTATAGTTGACACGCAATATTACATTAGAGTTTTGTTGTTTTTTTTAAGATTTTTATTTGAGAGTGGGGGGAGGGGCAGAGGGAGAAGCCTCCCTGCTGAGCAGGAAGCCCTACTCTGGCCCATCCCAGCACCCAGAGATCATGACCTGAGCCCAAGGCAGACGCTTAACCCACTGAGCCATGCAGGTGCCCCTCCTGTTTCTCTTTGATAGACTTTTACCCCTTGAAGGTTACTCACAATGGAATCTTCTTTTACATTTAATTTTTATTTCAAATAATGCTGCTTTGTGGTTTTAAAAATCAGTTAAAAGGCCCAGGCTTTTTAAGGTGCTTGGTTCCTCTAGCCCAGTTTTTCACTCCTTAGAGCAATCACAACTCCTATAGTTTTCCTCTGGTATTTACTTCTATTTCATTAAATAATGTGCTTATATCGTTATTTCTTGAGTGCTTGCCCCTATCTCATTTTAGACATTATCTAGTCTTTCTGCTATAAAGTATTACACTTGTTCATTTACTAACATTTATGTTTAATTTTACAAAAAATGAATATTCAGTATTCTTTCACCTATTGTATCTTAGACTTTTAAAGTATGTTTAGAGGTAAGTGTAAAATTTCATTTCTTTTGAAATTTATTAAAAAAATCATTGATCTCTGCCTCATCTTTTTAAAAAGATCATACTCAATTTATGTTTCCCCATTTATTTAACCAGTCCTCTATTGGTGGCCTTCTAGGTTATTTCTTTCCCCGCCTGCCTGCCTGCCTGCCTGCCCACCTGCCTGCCCACCCCCCCCATATGTAAATATTCTTTTGCAGTTTGTTTTTCTGAATCCGCGTTATTTCTGAAATCTTCTACATGGATACATGTAGATGTGGTTTATATATGATCATTGATAATTAAATTCCATCATATAACTACACTAAAATTTGCCTGTCCAAATTCTTGATGCACACACTTAAGCTATTTTGTTATTTTTTATGTTTTCCCTTTTTACAGCCCTACAGACATGCCTGTTTTAGGGAATATACAGCATCAGCCTCACCACATATTGTCAGATTGCTCTTCAAAGTGCTTGGACTAGTTTAACCTCCTTCCACATTTTTACCATGTTTGTATTGTCAAATTTTACATTTGTCAGTTACCTGGATCAAAATTGGCATATGATTGTTTCATATAATATTTCTCTGAATACCAGTTAGATTGATCATCTTTTCTTAGATTTATTGGCTTTTTAGACTTTCTCCTACCGGTTTTTCTGTTAGGGTGCTTACATTTTTTTCTTCCTGTTGATTAGTGGAATTTTTTATTATATTCTGGACATTGATCCTTTGTCAGAAATCTGCACTTCAGATATCTTCTCCCAGTCTTTGCCTAGACTTTTAGTTTATATATAGTATCTTCTGGGGCACAGAAATTTATAATTCTGTTCTGGTTGAGTTTATCCATTTTTTTGCTTTATGGTTTTCTTTTTTGTCTTCTTGCCACCTCATTTATTAAGGATTCTATATTCTAAAAATTTTAAAGTATTGCTGTTCACATTTAGGTCTTTATTCCATCTGGAATTAATTTTTCTACTTTGTGTAATATGGCGATCCAATATTTTTTCCTCGCTGTCCCAGCATTATTGATAGTCTGTCCTTTTCCTGGTGAGTTGTAACACAAAGTTCTGCATTAGTTGTAATGCCGAGTTCCAGTATATACTTGGAGCCATTTCTGGGCACACTATTTTTTTCCATTGATTGATTTTTTTTTTTCCATCCCTGCTCAGATACTATAGTGTATTTAATTACTACTGTCTTTCAAAAGCCTTAAAATCTGATAAGATAAACATACCTGTTTTTCTTCAAAATTATCTCTTGGCTACTTTATCTGCTAGTTGGGAAATTTCAGACAATCAGGAGAATTAGATATGAACTAGGTATTACCTACTGCTATGGCATTATTATTAAGTATGAAAATGGCATTTTGAATATGTAAGAAAATGTCCCGTGTTTTAGAGATGCTTACCTAAGTACATGGGGATGAAATGACATGAAATCTCAGGTTTGTTATAAAACATTTTAGCCAGCAGAAAGGGGAGGATGAATAATGAAGTAAGTGTGGCAAAATATTGATAGTTGTTTAATCTGGGTGAGGAAGTAGATGGCTTTGTGAAAACAATGTATTTTGTGTTTATAAAATGTAAAAAATTTTAAAATTGTTCTTAGATCCTTACTTTTCCATATAAAGTTTAGAATTGATTTGTCAGTGTTCTTTAAAAAATGCTGTTGAGCTTTAGATTTGGTTGAACTTAAAAAAAAATTGACATATTTATGATTACTGAGTCTTGCTATCCATGAATGTGTTGTTTATTTTAGTCTCATTTTTAAGCATGTTTTCATATTGTTTTATTATTTAGTTTTGGAAAGCTTTGCAAATCTTTTGTCAGATTTATTGCTGAGTGCCTTATGTTTTTGGTGTTATAGTAGTTTACCTTTAAGTAAAAAGTTGTGTTTGTAGTATATCGCTGGGAGATATGTATATATTTATTTATATCTTTTAATCTATTTGTATCATTACCAAGAATCTTATTTTTTTAATTTTAATTCCAGCATAGTTAACATAAAGTGATACATTAGTTTCAGGTGTACAGTACAGTGATTCAGCAATTCTATACATTAGTCAGTGTCCATCATGATGTGTAGTCTTAATCCCCTTCACCTATTTCCCCCATCCCCCCACGCACCTCCCCTCTGATAGCCATCTGTTCTTTGTAGTTAACTGTTTCTTGGTTTGTCTCTTTTCTTTGTTAGTTTTGTTTCTTAAATTCCACATATGAATGAAATCATATGGTATTTGTCTTTCTCTTATTTCACTTAGTGTTATACCCTCTAGATCCATTTGTGTCACAAATGGCAAGATTTCGTTCTTTTTTGTGGCTGAGTAATATTCCATTGTGTGTATGCTGAGTAATATTTCATTGTGTGTGTGTGTGTGTGTATATATATATAGCCAAACTACGAAAGCAACCCAAATGTCCATCGAGAGATGAATGGATAAAGATAGACATTTGGGTTGCTTTCATAGTTTGGCTATTGTAAATAATGCTACAATAAACATAGGGTGCATATATCTTTTTGAATTAGTGTTTTCATATTCTTTGGTTATATACCCAGTAGGGGAATTACTGGATCATATGGTAATTACATTTTTAATTTTTTAAGAATCTCCATACTGTTTTCCACTGTGGCTGTACCAGTTTGCATTTAGCTGGGAGATATTTTTTTTAAAGATTTTATTTATTTATTTGACAGAGAGAGACACAGAGAGAGAGGGAACACAAGCAGGGGGAGTGGGAGAGGGAGAAGCAGGCTTCCCGCTGAGCAGGGAGCCCAATGCGGGGCTTTATCCCAGGACCCTGGGATCATGACCTGAGCCGAAGGCAGACGCTTAACGACTGAGCCACCCAGGTGCCCCTGGGAGATATTTTTAAAGGAAGAATAGCTGTGTTTTTCCAGAAGTAATTTTTTTTTTTTTTCTATTTTTGGTTACATGTAGTCATTATATAAAGCAGTGAGTAAGAGACTGGTGTAAGCCTGAACCTATTAATGCAATTTGTTGTGCTTTTTTTGTTTTGTTTTGTTATGTGTATTAATAGTAACAGTTTAACCATATCGATCATAATTTGTAATTTTGGTTTTTGGAAAATGTGTTCCCTAAGAATATGTTGTTGGGCGTATTAAACATGTTATGTTTATATGTCATATATTTCCTCCCAAGTAGGCTAACTTGAAGTGATTTTTTGTTGTTGTTTATTAGTCAGTATGCCCTCAGTTACTTTTGTACATTTAATCTTGCAAAGATAAAGGAGACATTTATTTTCTTAATTCCATTACTTGAATGTAATTCAAAAACTAAGGGGCAAGGAATGATAGGTACTTGGTCCTTTCTTATATTGTTAATTTTGCCTTTCAGATTCATGATTTCCACTCCCTTCTTGCATATAAGTTGCTACGTGTTTTTACTGTGGCTAAGTTTCTGAAGTGTTTATATGTTATGAATTAAGTATAAATAATTTAACATTTTTAATGTATTTGGGTTCCCCCCCCCAGATTAAACTTGGACATAGATCAGAAGCTAAAGATGGTGAGTACTCCATGTAATCTGACAGAACAGGAAAAGTTTTTATTCTTACTAAGGAAGTTAGCAACGTATTAGAGTTATGAGTGGTTCTAGATAGAGTTATTGCAGGGTGAAAGAAGAGTAAACTCAGGATAGAGACAGGATATTTGTGATATCTACCATTTGGATGTTAAGAGTCCTGTAAGTCATCCAAGTCATCTGAGTAAATGTAAGGCAACAAGGTTATTAGTGGCTTGTTTTGCTGTCTTCATTACTCTTTAAGGTGTTGCAAGCAGTTGTTTATTCTTTTTCTGAGCTTCTAATTACTTTGAAAATTCAGGATACAACTTCATGGAAGTACAGAAAGCTCACACTGAAATAGATAAATGGAAGAAAACATGGTTTTACCCTTCCTCCATAGCATTTTGTACTAGTATGCTAAGTCTTGTTTAGTCATCAAGAACTAGTTTTTATAAAAAGGACGCTTCTTCTATTTAACAGTACCACATCTTATTTTTAATTTTGAGTTTTGTCCTTTGTATTGGGAAAGATATTGTCTTACCACTACTTTGTTGTTAGCATCAAGAATCTGTTTCTAAAAAAAAAAGAATCTGTTTCTAACATAATGCGAGAAAGAGGAAGCTGTTGACTTATTGCTTTAATGTTACACACTATCACATTGTTATTCCAGCAGTCTTCTCAAGTGATATGGTATAAAGTGAATACTTTTTATCACCATTTATCATAGTCATTGTTAAGCTATTTTGAAAATGAAGTAATATAAAAGAAAACCAGATATCAAAAAAAATTGTCAAAATAGTCCTTATTTTTCTTATATTCACTGCTATTTCCTGAAAGACTAACCTATCCCCAAAAATATGTTTATAAGATTTGAGATGTCAGAATTATTTTTCACATTGTGCTTTGCCTTTTCATGTAGGTATAAATAGAACAGCCTTAAGAGAGATAAAATTATTACAGGAGCTAAGTCATCCAAATATAATTGGTGTGAGTATGATCTAAGTTGTTTCTGGGATTTGGGACCCTGTCATTTCTTTTTTTTTTTTTTTAAGATTTTATTTATTTGACAGAGAGCACAAGTAGGCAGAGTGGTAGACAGAGGGAGAAGGAGAAGCAGGCTCCCTCCTGAGCAGGGAGCCCGATGCGGGGCTCGATCCCAGCACCCTGGGATCATGACCTGAGCCGAAGGCAGAGACGCTTAACGACTGAGCCACCCAGGCGCCCTGGGACCCTGTCATTTCTGAATGTGGTAGATGTTGATTGAAAGCTCAGCAAGATGAATTATTTTAGGTGAACCTTTCAAAAAAGCGTAAAAGTTTATTAGGCTAATATGTATTTTCTATTCTAATTGATACTGTAGGCAGTGTCTTTATTTATTTATTCTTTTTTTTTTTTAAGATTTTATTTATTTATTTGAGAGAGAGAGAATGAGAGACAGAGAGCATGAGAAGGAGGAAGGTCAGAGGGAGAAGCAGAC